ATAGTAGCTATATTTTATGTTAACAGATAGAAACCGATCACCATTCAGGTTTACTCAAGTATAACATTGATTGTTTTTCAGTGGTAAATTAGTGTACGGTTTTTTGTCTTGTCTTGATAAGTTGACCGAACATTGATATTAGTTGTTAGCAGGTGATTCTGAGTAGACTTCATATCACTTCCGAATTTTCGACTTTCATGAACTTAGTCTCACACATGCAATTTGTCGTTAATTCTTTTCCTTGTCCTTTAGTTTGAAATCATAACAGTCAGTGATAGTAATCACAAGAATTTCTGATTATCGTTTATCTATGTTCACACATACGAACTATGCAATTCCCAAGATTAGTTACAAGGTCAGAATACAATAGTTTTCACGTATCAGTATCTATTACACAACCTAATTATTCATGCCTGAAAAAAATTAATGACATCATTTTAGTTTAATTCACAATTACTTATGAATACTAAATCATTCTAGAACGAATAAAAATAAACCATGAAGACAGCCTCTAATCATGGTAATTCGGTAGTCATGTTCAGATCTATTTAGAATTTAATAGAGTGCATTAGATTTTAAAATTACAGTCGGATAGTTAATTGTTTTCATCATTGAACCATTCTTTTAATTCTAATCATAAAAGCATCAAGTTATTAGAAAACTGTCTAGCTTGATCTACGAAATATTTAAACTAGGCAGCAACAAAATGTTTATGGAAGCTGCACATTTTTCCTCAATGGTCCTATCCCTCTATAATATCAAGTACAACCTAATCAGATTTAGGCCTAGTTCAGTTTTCATAAACACTAATTTCATCTTTCATGTTGAGTATCTCACTAACCGACTAACAACATTAATCCCTTATTATTCATATATACTTGTTTTCTTGATCAGGTAACAACTTTATTTGATAGCATCCAAAATTAGCCTTGTGATAGATTCCAACTAACAACCTTCCTTAACGATGTGAGTTCCTTAAATATTCATTGTAGATAATTCCCATTCAACTTAATTTATATATTCGAATTTCAATCTTTTCCACATGCACATATACGGCTCAGGAAACGCTGTTTCAGGTGTTTAAATCGATCAAATGAAACATATTGCTCATAATTTTTGAATAATTTTGATCTCCTGTTACTGTCATACAGATAACTGTTAAAAATCAAGAATAACCAGACAACTGTGTTGTCCTAGTTGCAGTTTCCTAGCAATTTTTACTTACAATCCTATCGGGGATTGAATCAGGGACCCTCAAGTCTTGTTGCAAGTCGACTAAAATTTTAACCCTTTGTGTTTGGAATTTAACAGTGTTTGTTTGTAGCTTTAATCAATTCACTGAATGCCGTCTTTTTATATCTTTCAATAGAAATAGGAGCTCATTGAAATAGAATGAATAAAATTTTATGTTTCATTTTCAGTCACCATCACTAGTATTGCCGTTATTCTCTTTCGCAATCTACACTCACATCGCCAACTAGTCCCTTTTCGTATTATCGTATAGAAAGAACATTGTTTTGATACTCATTTCAGTCAACATTAAAAGCTATGAACTTAGAGGTTGAGGCTAATCCATAGCATATTGATTCGTTTGTTCTCGAAATAAAGCACGGCTTTCTTCGATTTTTAAATATATATCAATATTTATTTGTGTTCTCATGGCTCGTATATACTTGATTATAACTCATCTACTTTTTTTTCTAGAAAAAACACTTTCGTTCCCTAGGTTGTTTTTATTATCAAGGAACATGTATCATCGACTTTTTGTTTTCTAGAGCAAAGTAGTTTTATCAATCAGTACATTAGAGAATAAAGGAAATAGATTGTTTGTGGCTTTTGTCTACATGTATGTTTATATGTTAATGTCCGAATGATATTTCACTAGAATGAAAGAAATGTACATGAGAATGGGAGTGAAGATATATATATATATATATATATATATATATATATATATATATATTGTTGAGTCGGAGTTACTAACAGAAGTTGAGTTTCTATCGCTGTTGCTTATAAGTGACTGTGGTTGATGCCGTGGTGTATAGGCATTTTATTATACAAGGGATCTGATGTATGATAATATATCACTACTGTATTTGTCAACCAGTTAGCTTCTCTTCTCAATAAATAAATGTTGTGCATTTGCGACAAGTTTATATGACATGCACGTACAAACGTGTTTTCACAGTAATATTCTCCTTTTTTTTATGTCGTTGAAAGACTAAATCCTAAGTATTTAGATAAAAACGGTAAAATCAGTATGTCTGCAGCATGTTATTCTTCATGTTCATTCCTATTTCTCAAAACATACTTTACAGTTTACATATTTTACGTACATATTAGATGAATTTTCGTCAGTGAAAATCTGAATAAAAATTTCTAGTTTGAAACTTTTTAGCAGTGTACATTCACATCCCCTCTATATTTAACCGAGAATCAACGGGTCTCATAGTGAATAGAATATCATCCTATCATTAAGTTAGTATTTAATTTACTAACATTTTTCGACTGTAGTTAACTAGTGACGTAACGTGGAAATAATTCAGTGTTACCAGATTGTGTTCATTCCACCAATCCTCGAGATTTTCCGCCCAGACTTCCATCTTAAAGTTTGTTACTAGTGAATTCAAGGGGTCATAGAGATGGTGCAACACAGTGGCTTGTCACGTTATCGGACATGGCTCAGAATAGAAGCCAGTGGTAATCGTGCTGTAACTTTCTTTTACTTTCTTCATAAAAAAATAACAACCTTTTTTAACTGAAAGGATTCTTTTTTATTGTACTTTTGTTAACCGAACAGCCTCTCTTGTTATTATTGTTATTTCACTGTTATACGCTAATTTATGTTCGTCATTGTCTTACTTTTTCTTATACTAACTTTATGTTCTCTATCTCTTCACATTCTCATTGTTATTGTGTGACGCATGTGTATTTAGTGCCCCTTTGTACCAATATTTTTGTGTTTAAATAAATGAATAAATAAGTTCAACCTGTGATTGTTTGGGAATTTCTGTATTATTTAGTAATGGAGTGTTGACTTTTGATTACACGTTGAATACACTTAGCCTGTTCTACAATTGGTGTTTTACAATGACATGTATCGGTGTAGTAGATAAGTTTATTTCCTATTTAATTAAAATTAATACCTTAGTATGTTCAAGATAATAATAATAATAGTGCTAAGTGATTTCTAGTAAAGTGATAAATCTCTTGACTTAGTGGATTATGTGACAGTGTATGAAGCAAACTGATTTACTCAGTATTAACATCAACACTGGGATACAAGTGCATCTATCTATATCTAATGAGTTCCAAAAAAGGCGTAATGCGCATGTTGGATTCCACTTTTGCCGCTTTTCAAATTAACTAAATAACTTGTCACTAGATGTTAGTAAGGAGATAATCCGCTCAAGATTTACATATGCCACTAGAGACTGATAAACTTTAACAATGAGAAAGCAAAGATAAGGTAGTTACTTTTTGTCTGTTTTTCGTTATAATTTTTTTGGTGGCGAGGGAGACAAATGGGAAATTTCGTAGAGGTTTAATAAAAAAATAACATGGTTCTAGTGTGTATATTTCAATCGGAAATCATTTATTTGTGTGCTAGCCAACTAGCAACATATCCCGTTTTCTATTGTATTTCATCACTTAACACTGTTATATTTTAAAGGTTTTAATAGGATCTGTAGTTAAATCTCCTTTCTCACTAAGTCCCACTTACTTTTAATTTCTTAGAAAAATTAAACAAGAATGATAATTTTTTAATCAATTACAATACACTCATTGCGTTCTCAACTACACATACAACCTTATAAGTTTATTTCATGAAAAATTTTAATAAAATATTATAACATTCACGGAGTGAATTCCTCATTATAGTACCAGTGAAATGCTTGGCTAGCAAAATTGTAATATAGTTTCATTTACGTTTTGAACATGGTTTTACAGAAGTAGCTGAAGTAATAGTCTTGAAAAGTATTCACGGGAATTTTATTGCATAACTATAATAAGTATGTGGTAAGATAAGAACAGTTTATTTGAACTCAGTGGTAATTATAGGTGTGAAAAAAAATGTTATTCATTTTCAGTATCAATACAGTTAAAAGTTAATCATTGTTTTTAATTATAAAGGTCAGCTTTCAGACGTACCAGGTTCTACGTTGTGACCGATTGACTGACTTTCAGTCCTTCGTTGTCTATTATGTAAATGAATTTGAATAGAGCAGATCTATGTTCTATCATGGTTGTCTTCTATCAGATTGCTCGTTATCGGTGTCCACACCATTTAGGTAATTCTAACATTTGATAACATAATTTAGAGTAAAGTGGATATCGTTATTCAATTAACAATAACACCTTAAAATACTAGCCCTAACCTTCTTTTAAAGAAAAACAATAATTATGGTAACTACATCTTTGGTAATCTTTATTGTCAAAAAAGAATATTGATTGCTCAAATTGTAATAGTGGCTGTCTGTTCAGCTTAGAAAAACTGTTTTCCTTAAGTCTTTCTTGTTCTTTATTAATTTAATTCAGATGTATCTTAGTATATACAATTACATTGACATTAGGACTGAATGACTACCGATTAACGAATGCTATGTACTTTATCTAATCTACTTTCATGAATATTAACAGAGATTATTTGTTAATAAAGTTTGTATTTCATTCATCCTGTCCCCTGGATACATTTAAATAATACAAGAACAAGGTTTCCAGGATAAAAGGAATTAACTTTACTGTGCAAACCGTGTTATTCTTCTATTGTTTAAGGTTTGTATTAGTTTCTATCGTCTATTTAATGCATTTTTTCTTAGTTCTTATCTGTTGTTGACTGATGATCTTTGTTAGATTTCAAAGGAATTGAGAATGGTGGCATAAAAACTCACTATAGACAGTTTTCATTTCATTTTTATTATAAATACTCATTTATCAAATATAGTTTCATAAAAATGTTTATTTTATGTCATGTTCTTTTCAAACTTTGATCATTGCAGTTCTCAAAATATATTTAATCTGAAACCTGTATCGTCAGTTGAAGAAATGAGCACTGAGAATGATCATTTATCAACATCATCGTCATCATCATCAATATCAAAGCATTCGAATTGTCAAAATGATTCTAGAACTAATTCATACAATATTTCATCGGTTAACTCTTGTTCTTCTTCAAGTCCAATTTATCATCAAACATCACTTAAGCCTATTGATCATTCAAATATCGATATGTCCGGTAGTTGTTCTACTGTTATTTGTAGTTTAACAACAACTCCTGTCATCATCACTGATTCTGTGAATTCAGTTTCAATTAAATCTTCTGTTAATAATACTACCGATTCTATTATGAATATTGCTTCTTCATCTACCGGCATATCTACGGATACATACACAAGTATGGTTAATCTACCTTTCAATGATTCTTTGGTTTGTCGAAGTTATTCTCATTTACCTACATGTACCATGAATTCTCCAGGCTTCATTGATTTAACCCAGAAAGTAAGTATCTATATATTAGTTTATTTTTCGAAAAAATAATAGGCTACATTTATCACTTTCTTTTGGAATATTTCACTATTAAGATTATCTTATGATTAATCCATTTATGCGTGGAATTATGAGTACACAATCCCTAATGCCATCTTTTATTGAACAGATAACTGTTCAATACACCCTGGTTTTCAATGATTCTCCAATTGGTATTAGTTACTCTCTCTACATGTCTAAATATGTTAATTGACCAGATAGTAACCAAACCAAGACATAAATCCAGTTTATAATGTCACTTACTTTGAGACAACTGCATTAGTTGGAATATCACTTATACTACAACTACATGTACTACTTTATTCATCTTGATAATTTGATCTCGTTGTGGTAATTTAGAATAATAACTGAATGAATCAGACTTAAATGATCTAATTATATAATTTAACTGTGTACTGTAAACAATAGTCGAGTTGACCAATATGTCTTTTGTTACTATATTCAACCCCCGACCGTTGTTGCTACCTTGACGTGGTGGTCGGGCTTGCCTATCGTGATGAAGCAACCGAGCTATACTGGCTGGAACAACCGTTCCTCAAGGTCCTACCATGTCAGACAGGTCGGTTGAAGAGCGGTAAGACTAAAAGCAACAAACCCAAGGTCCGAAGGCGAAGTCGTACTGCTGACTGTACAGAGGTGTGACAGCAGTAAGGTGTTTCCTTCAGACAACCAGCATGACAGCGATGCTGCCTTCCCACAAGGAGGGGTGGGGTTAGAAAAGGTCGACCCTAAAAATGCACACCTCGCCTTATCCCACGGATATCCGTCTCCGGCGGTAAGGTCTCAATAAGTACGGAGCTAACACAAAAATTACCCATAACAAGGTCGTGTGTGACCGACCTCAAGCAGTTGTCCCTTGGGCACTGCGGTCACGCTCTCAGGTCACTAAGACCACCTTTAATCCAAATTCCTTTTCAGGTACCTCCAGAACAACCCTTCCACGGTGTGGGCAACCGGGAAGTGAAAACCGCCCTCATACCTCTAACAGCACTCACGACCACTGTATTCATAATCAACCTTCCTCTTCAATTCCTATTATTCCTCCTACATCGACTTTCAACTCTAAATTTCCTCTCTCGGCTTCCACCTCAAGTGTCACCATAGCCAACGATTCTAGTGCGCAAAATACTGTCCCAGGTCTACTGAAACCTCGCTCCAAACTACACATTGGAGCCTTCAACGTACGAACCCTATGTCAAATCGGTCAGCAGGCTTCCTTGGCTAAAACCCTAGAGTCTCTTACCATTGACGTGTGCTGTGTCTCCGAAACACGCATACAGGATTCCAGTGTGGTCATTCACTTGACCTCACCTCGGCAAAACGGAGAGCCAACGAGGTACACCCTTCGTGTATCTGGTGACCCGATGACAAGTTCTCGTGGACTGGCAGGTGTAGGCATAGCACTAAGCATGAGGGCCGAACAAGCACTGCTAGAGTGGATCCCCGTCAACAGTCGTCTATGTGCTGTTCGGCTGAACGGCTCCGTAAGAACTCGGAAGGATAGGGACACACGTCGTTGCCTGTTTGTCGTTTCTGCCTACGCTCCCACTGACTGCAGCTCAGATGAAGTGAAAGATGAATTTTACAGAAAGCTGTCCGAACTTCTTCAGAAAGCTAAACGCTCAGACATAGTACTCGTAGCAGGTGATTTTAATGCTCAGATAGGCAGTTTAAACCAAACAGAAAGGCATTTAGGTGGATATTTTAGTATTCCGACACAGCGAACAGATAATGGTGATCGTCTGCTGCAGCTATGCTCAGACAATCGTTTATTTTTAGCAAACACAAATTTTAAGCATGAGGAGAGACATCGTCTAACATGGCGACCCCCTACACCAAACCAACGATGGACTCAAATAGACCATATTGCCATCAGTCATCGTTGGAGAGGGTCGGTAGAAGATTGTCGCTCATTCTGGAGTACCTGCTTGGACTCCGACCATGCCCTAATACGGGCACGCATCTGCTTGCGCCTCACTGGACGCAAAAAAGCCACATTAAAAAGACCCGTTAGAACTGAGTTGAGTAACGAGAAAACCAAAAGTAGGTTCCAGGAACAACTGAGGTCACACTTAGGTAGTTGTGAAGACGAGGCTGACCCAGATGTTGCTTGGAAGGGCATACAATCAGCTGTGGAAACAGCAGTGACATCTATTAGTGACTTAAACCACAGAGTTGCAAGGAACCAATGGATTTCTTCAAGGTCTGTCACACTGATGGATTCTCGCAAACTCGTCCCATCAGGTTCTGAACATGATGAAGAGCGAAAACAAATCAGATCTAGGTTAAGAAAAAGCCTAAGAAACGACCGTGAGCAGTGGTGGGTAACGAAAGCAAAAGAGATGGAAAAGGCGGCGACTATAGGGAACACAAGACAGCTTTACAGACTAATAAAAGAAACTGGAATTAATAAGTCAAGTGTAAGTGAGATTATATCGGAAAAAGACGATACACTCATCTGCTCCAAGTCCAGGCGTTTAGAACGATGGGCGGAACACTTTAGGGAACAGTTCAGCTGGCCTTCAGCAACTCTACAACTACCCTCTATTCCCAGACAGTGTGAATGGAACATTGAAGTAGGTCCCCCAACTCTTGCTGAAGTTCAAAAGGCTATAGTTAATCTGAAACGAGGAAGGGCAGCTGGTCCAGATGGATTGGCTCCAGAGGTCTTTAAGGATGGTGGTCCAATTTTAGCGATTAGGTTGACTAATATTTTAGCTAAGATCTGGGAATTAGACTTTATCCCATCTGACTGGTCGCAATCACTTATCGTCCCAATATATAAGAAAGGGTCAAAATCATCCTGTGACAACCACAGAGGGATTAGTTTAACAAACATAGTATCTAAAATACTGGCCTCGATAATTATCAGACGCCTAACTAAGACTCGTGAACTGCAAACTCGAGAGAACCAAGCTGGCTTTAGACCTGGTCGTGGCTGCATCGACCACATATTCACCATTCGTCAGGTTCTAGAACACAGGCATACCTATCGGCGTCCGACGATGGTGGTATTTCTTGACTTAAAAGCAGCATTTGACTCGATAGACCGCGAGACTCTGTGGCAGTGTCTGTCATTGAAAGGCGTACCTCAGAAGTACATAAACCTTGTGAAGGCTCTTTACTCGAACACTACTAGTCGAGTCAGGGCTTATGGCGAACTGTCATCTACTTTTGCAACTTCAAGTGGTGTCCGTCAAGGCTGTCCACTTTCTCCATTTTTGTTTAACTTCATCATAGACCTATTGATGTAAATAACACTCTCGTCGACTGAATTCTCGGGTATTGATCTCCTTCCAGGAGGTCCACTTATCGACTTAGAATACGCAGATGACATAGTCCTGTTTGGTGAAGACGCTGACAAAATGCAGAGTCTTCTGGTAGCACTAAGCAACAATGCCAGAATGTTTGGGATGAGCTTCTCTCCCTCTAAATGCAAGTTGTTGCTTCAGGACTGGTCTGGGTCAACACCTGAACTAAGGATAGGGAGTGAAGTAGTTGAACGCGTTGACAACTTCACTTATCTTGGAAGTCTGATCAGCCCTAATGGGTTGGTATCGGACGAAATCTCAGCACGGATTCTAAAAGCTCGTTTGGCTTTTGCCAACTTGCGTCACCTATGGCGAAGGCGAGATATCCGTCTATCAATAAAAGGACGAGTATACTGCGCGGCAGTCCGTTCTGTTTTAATTTACGGCAGCGAAACATGGCCATTAAGAGTAGAAGACACTCGTAAGCTACTGGTATTTAACCACAGATGCCTTAGAAATATTGCTAGCGTCTGCTGGGATTACCGGGTAAGTAATAGTGAGGTTAGACGCAGGGTATTAGGGAATGATGGTAAATCAGTTGATGAGGTTATGAATCTTCATCGACTGAGATGGTTGGGCCACGTATTACGTATGCCCGAACACCGATTACCACGACGTGCAATGCTAACCGGTGTAGGGGATGGTTGGAAGAAAGTTAGGGGCGGCCAAACCAAAACGTGGCATCAGTGCCTGAAGTCACTAACTTCTAGTCTGAGCCATGTTGGTAGATGCAGACTACTTGGTTGGGGTCCGCGTGACTTTCGTAACCAATGGTTGGAGACTCTTGGTGACATGGCTCAGAATCGATCACAATGGCGTCGGTGTATACACTTCCTGTCTTCCCTTAAACTAAAAGATTAAAATCACTTCATTCTTTCTGTCTACGAACTAATTCTTTCTTCCTATACTATATCCTTATTACAACCTTTGACCTAACCACTCCTATGAATCCGGTGTTCATCTTGCTGTGCTAATGAGGTATGGCAACCTGGACCGATGCACATATGTGCCTGGTCCTACGTTGTAGCTGACTGACTGACTGACTATATTCAACCACTCATGTTATTGCAGTATACTACTTTCAATTGATTATTCAGTGTTCTCTTCTTTTTTGTATGAATTAATGTATGAAAGAAGTAGGTATTGCTGTCGTACTCTGTATCTAGATAACATTTAAAAATCATTCTTTAAACTAAAAATTATACATTGAAGATAAAAGTTAAATATATAAAGCATAGTTGATAATATTTTATTCTAATGGTTTATTTCCAATTATTTGTAAGATATTTCTTTTACTTCTCAGTGTGTATACACTCAAATCGAAAAAAATTGGCTTACAGAATCATATCTCTATATAGAATTATATCTCTATATCTCTATATGTATCTTGTTCTTTCACCTAACTCGTTTATTATTCATTAATGTAATAGGAGAGAGTCATTATTAAATGACAAAAAGTTGTTGAAAACACAAGTCTATGTGTATCATATTTAACAGTTGAATTAAAATCCAACAGAATACCTAATTTAGAAATAGTGATACTATGTATCTGTCTTTCCCCTCGACCCACCTCCCCTGATTGATTCAGTTATCTTACCTAACCAACTACAAACTTATCTTACTGTTCCTAGAACTATAAAA